CGTCCATATCGAATCAGACACCCTGTATACAGCTGAGACCATTTCCGGATGGGATATACGTATGATAATAAATTTAGTAGTCAACTATATACATATAGCTACAAGAAATTTTTCAATGTCCCCAGCGATAATTAACGTCAGTTTTCTTGACCATACCTGGCATTTTTTAATAATGCAAAAAATTTATTGCGAAAAATATTGCGAAAAATATTATCTCTGCCAGATGTTGAAAGGAAGGGCGGGCATAAGGCATAATCTTGAAGTACGAGAAGAAATTGGAGGAAAGGAGAGGGGAGCAACTGTCGAGGGAGAGTTGGAAAGAATGGAGGGAAAAAGCGAAGGAGAGGAAAACAGTGAGGGGGTGGAAGGAAGAATATTTGCAAAGTAGAGGATGGAAAATGGAGGAGATGAAGAGATTAAGGGAACCCACGCAGCAACTTAATATTGCAGCAGTATAATTGTAACATTACAATATTGTGTAATATTACGTCACAATGTATCAGTAATATTGCACAAACGTTGCTACGCTCTGTACTTTGAACGTGGTATTATTATTTTTTCTCTATGGTTACCTTTGGTCTGTCCGTTTTCGCTGCACTGCTGCATTAGTGCAATTAACTGCACTAGTTCAATATTTTTTAATTTCTACAACTAATGTTGTAAAATTTAAATGAAATACAACAAAATTACAATGTAAAGTTTCTAATAATTATTTTAGTGCAATCTAATATATTTTATTAAAAATATATTAACTTATAGTTTTCATTTAAAATAATGTCAAATATAATTATATTTAATAATAATACATTGTAGTAGAATTTTATCTATCTTTTTAATTATGGAGTTATGTTCCATTGTCCCAGCCTACCCGAATCCCTACCTATCGCCTACCGCGTCTCAACTTTCTGTTAATAAACCTGCAAGTCTTTTGTTAAAACCGCGACGCGATTTATAAGTCCGATTTGGGGTTATACGCGCGCGATTTAATAGGGATTTAATAGAAGTCTTTTTAATCTCGCACATATGCGAGAATATGTAAAGAAGATAAGAATATAACCCACCCGAATTTTGACATATAAGAAGAAATCAACTTATTTCGTACAACACCTTACATACTCCATCAAAGTGGTCAATATTGACCACTTACTTCATGGTATTCCATCGTTGGACCAGATTGGACCTACCATTCGTTGCTCCTGGCCATACAGTCTGGTCATTCTGACCAGAAATCAGAAAGGAAGAAAACTCCTTCCATAGTCGGTTTATTATCGTCACCGACAAATATTTCGTACGGTTCGAACTATATGCGAGCGTCGATCGTATCGAAATGCACGACCACGAAAATTTAATTAATAAAGAAAATTAATTAAAAAATTTTTCTGTATAAAACTACTCAAATATATTTTTACTTCGTGACTCAATCTTTAAATTCAAAATTCAAGTATACATGTATACAAAGAACAATTTACTTCGCGTTTTATTTATTTTAATTACATCCCGCGCTAAATTTACATTTATAATATGGATAAAATTAAACAATTATTTTTTGAAAATTTTTTTAAACACTGATCGCGAAAACCGACCGCGAAAATACGAGAATGCGTGTAAATACACCCTCAGAAAGAATTTCTGTTACCGATACAAAAAATAATCTTGACGTATTTATATTTCTCACAACCTCATTTGGTATAAAAATAAGACAATATCAAAATAAAATCAATAATTCTTATTTTCCTCTATCGAATTAAAAAAGATTGACTTCTTATATTGAGACAAGAGTAACTTGTATAAATGTAAGTTTATATATTCTTGCGTTTAAAATAAATTTTCCCTCCATTTTACAACGCACGATATTGGCGATACTCGATAAAAGACGATACATATACTATCATTTTATTCTAAATTTTAGAATTTTTCATTGAAGATTAAAATATTCCTTTCTCTATAATAAATATGATTGGCGTTATATCTATTCTATATTATGATACATTGAAGTGTAATAGCATTGGATCCGGAAATTTTTTCTGTGGGTGTATGCATGTATTCATGCGAGACGCATCTTGAAAGTGTCGCGAAATGCACTACAAAATACATGGCGTGAGATCCAGAGAAAAGAAGATTACCATACGATAAATGGACAATTCAATATTTTAGTTAATCAATAGCTCAGATAAAGTATAAAAATATTATAAAGTGTCTGCCTTCTCGATAAAATATTAGAATCTCACGTCATGTTGTTTTATTTTATATATAAATTTGTAAATAACAATGGATAGGCTACAAGAGATTAGCTTGACGAATACATCAATAATATTCGTCATCATTTGCGTGAACTTCTCTCTTTCAATAGATAAAATATATAATAATAAATATGAAAGAAAATTGTACTCTATCCATTTTAAGGCAACGTATCTATGAGATATACTAATCTACTATCTACGATCTACGAGATGTAGATACATTGCCTTAATAAAAAAGTTTTCGACTCACCGCCTGATGCGCAGCAGCGGAGTTAGGCTACGTTGAATCTGTAACAAAAAAATTAAGAAATCATTAAAGCAGTGTTGAAAGAAATTAGTATTGTCAAATATGAGTAATTCTTACGCGTATCGAACGTTTTATTTGGTTGGATATTAATTCGCAAAAGATTTTCACAAGAAGAAACTTTTATAAAATTTTTAATCATTTCTTCTTCTATAATTATTGTTTCCAAATTATATAATTATGAAACAAAACAACTCAGAAATGTGAACTGGAAAAAGATAATAATTTTACACTAAATAAACAATATTTACCTTAAAGTTGCTCCGCTGGCGCCTGATGCCTCTTCCAGGCCACCTCCTCCACTCAGATTGTCCACCAGTACACTCGCGAAAACACACAGATCGTTCGCGCGATTTTACACTCCCGTATGCGAAGTCCATGTGAAAGAATGTACCATATTCTGTTCCGTCAAGTTCGCCTCCACTTCGAGTCGACAAGCTTTATACCCGAAAAACTGTCAGATCTCGGAAGTGTGGCCATCGACAGGAACGGACATTTCACGAATACATGTCCCTCAAATGGGCTTTGAAAAATCTCCGGTTCGATTATTTAAACGGCACTCCCGAACGCGACGAAAATGGAAACTTAATGTTATACGCGCACTTTTGTACGGATCGCGACAATTAAACGCGATTGATAAATGTTAATATCTCTCGTACGAAACGATCGCGTTAAGCCTTGTGTCCACGATCCAAGAACTTGGTTCAAGTTCTAGTTTCGAGAAATGTGTAGCCAATCAACCTGCAGCTATTCCATAAAAGCTGCAAGGTGATTGGCTACGCATTTCTCGGAACTAGAACTTGGACACAGTTCTCGGATCGTGGACACAAGGCTTTACGAGGAGCGACGCGTACACTCGCGGAACGTGCGTCTCGCTCGACCGAGCCTCGTCAACTAATTCGGCGCAATATATTGTTTTTCGACCGAGGTGTACACGGCACTACGTCATTTCGCGGAACCGGCGCTCGGCTTTCGACCGATCTCTCGTACGAAACGATCGCGTTACGCCCAGTGAGAAATGATTCGTCGATCGACGTCGAAATGATGTCAATTCGACGGTGTCGATGTCGATTCGACGTCGTTTCGACGTTGATCGACGAATCATTTCTCACTGATGGGCGAGGAGCGACGCGAACACTCGCGGAACATGCGCCTCGTTCGACCGAGCTCCGTCAACTAATTCGGCACAATAGATTGTTTTCGACCGAGGTGTTCACGGCACTACGTCATTTCGCGGAACCGGCGCTCGGCTTTCGACCGATCTCTCGTACGAAACGATTGCGTTACGAGGAGCGACGCGAACACTCGCGGAACATGCGCCTCGTTCGACCGAGCCTCGTCAACTAATTCGGCACAATAGATTGTTTTTCG